CGTCCCGCCACGGCAACCGGGAAGGAGCCGAGGTCTTAGGAAGGAGCCCCGGGGCCTCTGGGATGAAAAGAGATCATGCTGAATTGTGGCTCTGTAACGCCCGGTGTTCACACTGCGGGGAGGTGGACGTGCTATGAGCAGCCTGTCTTATCTCAAATGTCTAAGGAAAACACAGCCTTTTGTTATATATAAATTTATATATATATAAATATATATATATAAAAGAAGAAAGTGCACAAGATAAATATTTGAGAATCATTGGTTTATATAATAAATTAAGTGAAGAAGTGGATGAGATCACTCAAATGAATTTGAGAGATCTGGGGAAGGCCAAAATTAAAGCATAATTAGGTAAAGAAACAGATACCTACAAACAAGATTGAAAGAGGTGAGGAAGCAATGAATAGGCAGAGTACAGAGGATCTTCAGGGCAGTGAAAATACTCTGCATGATACCAAAATGATGGATACATGACATTACATATTTGTCCAAACTTATAGAATATACAACACCAAAAGTGAACTATAATGTAAACTATGAAGTTTGGGTGATCATGATGTGTAGGTTCTTCAGTTGTAACAAATGTACCACATTGGAGTTGATAATGGGGGACGCTATGTATGTGTGGAGGCAGGACTATAAGGGTATTCACTGTACCTTCCCCTCAATTTTGCTGTGAACCTACAACTGCTCTACAAAAGAGAGAGAGAACAGAGAGATAGGAAAATAAAAAGAGAAACAGCATCTGGCTTAAAACAAGTACTCAATAAATATTCATTGAATGAACGAAGGAAGAAATGAATGAATAAATAAATTAGTGAATGGATGAATATAGATAATACAGTTTTGTTTATCATGTTATACGCATTTCTTTACAGTTACTGACCTTCAAATCGTTAAGACCAGTCCATATTATTATTTGATTCTTTGACCTGAAATATGAAAATAAAAATTTTTTTTCCTCTTCACTTTTTATATCCACAAGGTGTGCAGAATTGAAGGATAATTTACAATGTTGCTGGGCTGTATTCCATGCCTTACTCTCTTTGCTAATTCTGTAACAGCTACTCTTTAATGCTACCCATCCTTGTGAGCAAGAACCTACCAAAAGAAAAATGCTCCGTTAAAGATGAATTCAGTAATATAACATTTCATAATTATATTTCTTAACATCTCTAGAAGTTAATTGTGAAAACCTCATAGCATTAATTGTGCACTTGCCCTTTGTTTCTCTCAAACCAATAAAAGTGCTAAAGCTGTTATTATTCAAGTAGTAAATGAATTACTACCAATTAAAATAGCTTTTTAAGAAGCCATAAGAATTAATTATGCAGAATTATTGTCCCATTATAACTTAATTAAAACAAAAGACAGATGTTTTTCTTTTTTTAAGGTACTTTAGGTTGCCTTCCTGTCCCTTACTCCTGTGCTGGAAGAAAATTTTTAAAATATATTTTAGTTTTCTTTTTATTTTAGAGAACTATACGTAATGCTTGCTAAGAATTCTGTTCTCTGCCACTTGACTTCAAATGGGTTCACCTTCCAGAAAAAAATAAAATAAAATGGAATGGCTGCTGAGACTTTTTCTCGGAGACTGCATATCACAGAAAGACTAAGGAAAACATCATCCTGTTCGGAGGAGGTGTTGTACTTTAACTCTTGTTCGCGCTTTGTCAGCACGTCCACCCACAATATTAGGAAGCTATGAGAAGAATCTTTTGAAAGAACTGTTGTCTTATTTTTTCACAGGGGAAGAAGGAAGATGGGGAAAAGGAAAGCTTTAATTACCTTACTGTCTTGTTCTTACTATTCAAGTATCTTTCCACTTCACTTGTAAACAGACATTGTGGTTCATTGATTATTCTTTTAGAGGGTATTAAAATGGGACTCTTTGCCCATCACAAGAGTGTATTGACCTCATTAGTATATATGACTCTTTCTTCTTCTTGTATCTTTTCCCACCATGTGGGGGAAGAAAGTGGAACTAGGAAAACAAAAAATTTAACACATTCCCTTTCTGCTTATAATATTCTAACTTTTGGTCACATCTGATCAGGGATGAGTAATGGAGAGGCTTTAAATAGGATGACAGACTTATTTTATTAGATTTGAATGGACCTTTTAGTATCTAAAAATGAGACTATTCACTGATACTTTAGAGTCACCTAAAAAGCTATAGAATTTATATGAACTATTCGGAGTTCAAGAAAAGAGGACCCACCTGGTTCGGTTTAAAAGTGGAAGGAAAATACAGTTGGTTCTTTCCTTTATACTGCTAAATCTACCTTGACTAAATTAGTCAAATACCATAATGATATAGTTAGAAAAAGGGGACTATGCTAATTCATTTATAAGTATTTTACAGTGGTTAATACTTGGCTGGATCACTTCTTAATAGAACAATGCAACTGCCAAGTTATCTACAAAATGTATAATAAATATATTAATTAATAACAAACTAAATATCCATATACCTGTTTCAACTTGAACATCCAGTCTCTGAAGTATATTTATAGAATCCAAATGTAACTGTTTAAATTCAAAAGTAAAAGCATATAAGGTGGCAGGTTTCAAATCATCCCACTCATAGACATTGACATTATTTTGCATAATTTGTGAAGAATTATTAAGAGATATTGACACTGAAATGTCATTGGAAGATAGCACACTCCAGTTAAAAGAAACACTTGTACTTGTTGCTATTGTTTTAATATTTCTAGTTGAGATTCCACCTAAAAAAATCAGAAAGAATAATTAGTATGCTGTCAAATAAAACTGAATGAAACACAAGGATATTGAATTACAAAAGATTTCCATGGTAGAAAAATATTACTAACTATAAAATATTTTCTAGACTATACGGGAGTTTCTTGTACCCTATTTAGAGTGAATGAATTAGATTACAAATCCTCATTATAATATTTTTTAGAATAATCTGGATTACACTTAACATTTCCACTATACCTACTTATTTATATTATCACATATTAAATGTCAAAACTAAAAATGTTATTTTTAGCTTAAAATTTATTTTAAATATTGAAATTTATATTATATTTAAAGAATAAAAGACTACTATCATAATGTGATTTTCAACTACCATTACATACCTGTTAATCATTGTAAAATTCAAATTATCTGATATTTTCCCTTTTATAATTAGGTAATATAGCTGAACAACATATATATATTACTTACGAGTTTGAAATGACTTCTCACTTAAAATTTGTCCATATTTTATGGATTGTATAATGATATGATAGTCTTCATTTTCTTCTAGTGTTATTATTGATTTTGGAGGTTTTTGTGGGTCTGTTGGAATGCTTTTGACATTCTGTAAATAACAAGCCACATTTCCTTAAGAAATGTATACTAAATCTGTGTCAGATACACTACAAGTTTGACTTTTGTACATCTTCATAAGAAACAGTTTTTCCAATATGGAATATAAACATACACATAAAATATCTATTTTTACATAAAATGTTACTTTTTAAATAGCTATTCTCTGTAATAAGGAAATTCTAAAACGGGAAATATATCATCAGTTCCTTTGAAAAAGTTGAATATTATTTTGATCGACTATTTATTGAAGATACTTCATAAATTCTAACATTTTATGTTAATAAAATAAAAGTAAGAAATCACAGTAACTATTAAGTTCCTATTTCTGATATAGCATTTAGTGACAACAAATTTACACTGTGCTTACTGTTCATCAAAGTCAAAAAAAAAATGATGTCTTACTTTTTGGGCAAAATTATTAAGAAGTTGGTATTTTAAAAAATAAAATTCAGGACATCCTCCCTTAGGAAATTCTTCCCATTCAATAAAAATTGTTGTTTGTCTATTTACTGGCATATAATAAAAACTTTTTGAGATCTGAAATGAAAAAGAAAAGTAATGGTAAAAAAATAATAAAAATGCAGTCTTGGTTATTAATTTATAAAAATGAAACCTATAATATGCCAAATAATTGGAAAATATTTCAGCAATATTGATTTCTACACATGAATTAAATAACATCCATTGGATACTGTATTTGTAAACATAATTTGAAAATAACTTACAAAAGGGAAGTAAAATAAGAGCAGGGAAATTTAAGATCCATGTTTTTCAAACTAGGAAACACTGCATTCCCAGTGTCAAAGGTAAGGAAGAGACAGGAACAACACAGTACACCCTCCTGGCATGTGAACTGTGTACCTTGATGATAATGACTACAAAACCAAATTATTTCACAGACATTATTGACAATACGTTTGCGATTAAAGTAAGTTTGAGTGCAAAATGTTTGAGTCATTTTAGAGCCTTAGTTTATTACCAATTGAGGCAAAATAGACCTTAAGATCAGAGGCCCTTTACCTTTTCCAGATGACAAAAAAAGTGTTCAACTCTCAGAACGATATATTTATCAAAATTCCTACCAAAAACAACCTTAAAATGAGTCACCATGCCATGTCTTTTACCAAATTCCCATCTCTCGCTCCACTGATTATCCCCACACATTTTGTAAGCAGTGAAAACAGATGCCATCTATATGTACAAATTTGTCCAGCATCTAGCAAAGAAAATATTTTTAGGTAATAAACCTAATATTTAGTACTATTTCTCCCAACATACCCCTTGTTTTTCAAAATGGATAGACTCAATGCATTAGCATCCTGCCCATTAACTAATTATTCCAAATAGGGCATATTCAAAATGTCTTACCTTTATAGCATACAGTATCCAGAGCAGCAGAATAATTAATTTCTCCATCTGGAAAATATTCGGTTCAATTAAACATGTATATTTTTAGATTCAATGCTAAACTATTCGATACTATGTGGTGTGTGTGTATCACTTTAATATCATGTCTTCAACTTAGCCTGACTGCTCATCTAACTGAATGTTAAGGCATTAATAAGTAGGTGCTTCATGATACTTTCCGCCTAATAAAATTGGAAATATTAGTGCTTTCCAACAAATAACAAAATAATTTGCTTCTAAAAGCTTCTATAATTATATACAAACGTATCAGAAATAAAAAGAATTATCAGGCAATTACACGAAATTACATTGCATTATGTGAAACTATTTAACCTTAATTGGTGGAAATCTAGAACACCTACACACTGCTATTCCATTGGAAGTAATTCCTCACATTTTATCATCATAAAAAGTATTTCAATATACTGTTGATGATGGGAAAGACATTAAAATCTGTTTCAATTTATTTTTTAAATGTATTCATCTAAAAAGCTTTGTAAAGTTTCCTAGGAACCTAGAGTCCCTGGGGACCTAAGAACTTTTTACATTCATTTTAAGATATAAAAAGAAAAAAAATACCCTGTATTTAAAATATATATTTCTACAACTGAAAAACGGGATTTTAATAGTGAACAGGTACCCAGGACCAATTTCAAAATTCTCTAAAGCTCACTCTAAAGCAGATTTCATCCTACAAAATCTTTTTTAGTTCTAATTAAGCAAGTGTCCAAAATATACCCAGTTAAAAAGAAATACCTAATCACTCAATCCGCAGACTCCTCCACAAAACTGCAAAGCTTTAACCTTGTTAGAAAGTGTTCTGTCCACGGGGCTGTAGTATTAACCATCACCCCCTCCTCCCCCGCCGCACGCCGAATCTAAGTGTAATGTAGAATTTCAAAGGCTTGTGTACAATAATAACGCCGACGTGGAAAGATCGCCCCCGCTGCGTGTTCTGCAAGTCCAAAAGTCCCCGCTCAAATTCAGTGGTGAGTCACCGTGCTTGCGCCCAGGCGAGGAGAAAGAGAGTAGCTGTCCTGAGACGCACCGTTTTAGAGTCCAGAGGAGCTAATTTTTAACCGGCGTTGAGAACAGTATAAAGGAAAGAACTATAATGTGCGTGTGTGTTGGGGGGCCAAGGGGTGGGGGGGCGGTAAGAGTGGTTAGACTAGTGGGGGAAAGAGGAAAGAGCAGAGACCTGGAAGCCACAGCGCGGGGGGTTCCCGGAGAAGACTGCGGGTGCCGGGCGCCCCTGCAACCCGTCAGGACACGACCCTTTGCAGGCGCGCGGTGACCGGGTCCCGGAGGCGCAAAGGCGGGGACCGCGCAGGAGCAGGAGGTCGCAGCCCACCTCGCGGCCTGCCGGCGTGCTTCCTCTTCCCCGCTCCTCCCCGAAATCCCTCGCTCTGCTCCGCTCCTCCCGCCGCTGCTCTGCTGGGTGTTTCCCCCGCCACAGCGGTGCCCTCTCTCTCCATCCGGTTAATTAAGTGAGGGTCTCCATGGCAACGGTATGCAGCGGGAAGGAGAGAAGTGGGAGGCGAGTCCCAAAACATTGAAATGTGGAGGAGAATTACACTCCACATGGAAGAAGGGAGGAAAGGGTAAAGCTTTGAAGAAGAACGCGAGTGGGAAGCTGGCTTCTCATGAAAAAGAAACAGAAGTCGATCATGTGGCTGTAACTCGCCCTAGTCCGGCAGAGTTTTAAGTTCAACCATGTGGCTATGTATAAAGGCACATTCTTACATTGTTCAAATGTTGTGTGCTTTGTTTCCTGCAGCATTTGACTGTATTGATAAAACCCTTCTTCCTGAGCACTTCTCAGTTAGTTTCCCTGACATCACCCTCACCTGGTTCTTCCATCTTCTTACTCCACTTCATACTCTGACATTTCTAATTGAAAATTGGCTTACCTATGGTACATTCTTTCAGTCTGGGTTATTTCATTCACATTCCAGACTCTCGCTCATTTCGTCTTAGATCTCATTTCTTTCCAGGGCTTCAGAGTGGTATTTACAGCTCCACTGGCCATCTCCACCTGGGTGTTCCCCCCAAGCAACTCAAAACCGTTTTTCCAAAACTATATTCATGATCTTTTCTCTCCCAGCCCTTCCTGAGAAGAGGGTCAGCCAACCGAACAAAAAAGTCACCAACTCTGCATTCTCAAATCCTTTACCTCACTACTCAAAGCCAACTTGTCCTCAAAAATCCCTTTGAGTCTATATGACTATGTATGAAGATATTCTAAAACATCTCTTAAGGGGATTTCTTGCTCTGTATTCCCACAACCATGGGCTTAATTGAAAACCTTTATTATCTCTCTCTCTCTCTGGAAATTATGTGCCACGTTTGAGTTGGAACCTCAGTTCAGATCCTATTGCTCCATTTACTCTGAAAAGTTGATTGTGGTCAAGAGTGAGATTGCAGAGTGCTTTTACTTAAGTAAGTATAAATACTTAATATTGAGTGACAACTAATATTGGTTCACTGGGATTACTGCCAATAAAACCCACACTTGGACTATGCCTTCTTGTCTGATAACCCAGTCTCTCCTAAATATTGTTAGCTAGTTGGGGAGGGGTAAGAGTGATAAGAGTAGCTAGTGTGATCTTTCTGAAATACACATATGATCATGCCTGGGGTGCTTATTTAAAAGCCTATTCTGACTCTTGGTTGCTTACAGTGTACCTCTGAACAAATTCACTTTTCAATATCACTCTTCTCCTTTCCCCTGGCACCCTATCTTATACTCTCAATGAAGTAACAGGCCATATATATTTGCACCTCTGTTTTCCTATAGAACTTTGTTTATATTGTAGTGTACAAGTTTACTTTTTTAGTATTTATGTTCTCAGACAAATCAGGAACTCTGTGATGGCAGACTATGTCTTAATTCAACACAGTTATAGATATGAACTATATGTTGTTTCAATTCTTGAAGGTTCTACATATCTTTTATCTTTAAAAGTGGAAAGTGTCAAGGCACTGTATCGCAAAATGATTTCATTGCCAGTGAATTAGCTTTTAGGCTTTGGGAAATATGATCAAATTAAAAATCCATCAAGAATGTTAACAAAACTTACTGTGGTAATCACTTCGCAATATGTGCATGTATCAAATCATTATGCTGTATGCTTTAAATTTTTAGTATGTTATATGTCAATTATATCTCAGTAAAACTGGGGAAAAAAGAAAAATCAAGAAACTGGTCATAATAAACAAATAATCCATTAAATGAATTGAGTAGAGTATACATATTTCAATATGGCTTTTTTAAATCATGCATTGTTTTGCAGAGTGACATTTTAAGTAAGCAGCCATTGTAACACTACCACTTTCTGTAATTTACGTCAATCTCTCTACTAGCACAGTAAACTTGGTAGCACGTTAATCAATATGGTTTCCTTAAAAAGCTCTCCTTCCTGAGAAAATATCCTATGAAATATAGTGTGGCCTTGTTTCTGCCTTACCCTTTATTTTTTTTTGGCCTAGGAACTTTGGTATAGAGAAACTACGTAAAGATTCAAGAAAATCGTGGGTCATTTCTTCTGAGAAAAGGGAAGGTGTAGATCTAGTATTATTTCGAGGCATTTGTTCTTAAGAAAAATAAATGATTTTTCAGATAAAAGCCATTTAAGCAATCATGGAGATCTTCAATATCTTATAACATGAATTTCCTAATAGGAAATACATTGTTTGAGATTGGGTCAACATATTTGCATAACCACATCCCTGATAGAAGTGTGACAAATATACAAGTAATCACAATACTCAACCCTTCCTCACCTTCAACTTCCAGTCATTTATTCAATCAAAATACTGAGTGCAACGAATGTGATCAGTTCTCCCCTTCATGGGGTTTAAATGTGTGTGTGTGGGTGGTGGTGGTGGTGGTGGTGGTGGTAGTGGTGGTGGAGAGGGGAGTTCCCCACATCATCAGGCGATGCTTGGGTCACCAGCTGAGTATCTTACAATTCAACTCAATTCTGATATCTACCTAGAAAGAGCATCAGATTCCACAGGTTAAGGGTTAGGCCTATAAGACTATCCCCTATACCCGCTTTAGATGCCAGTCACAAGCCCAACTGGCTACAGATTAGAGGTTCCTATGACCCCATCTTTGGATTCAATTAATTTTCTAGAGAGGCTCACAGAATTCAGGAAGCCTGTCTATTGGTTTATTATAAAAGAACATAACTCAGGAACAGCCAGATGGAAGGGATGCATAGGGCAAGGTAGTGGTAAGGGGCACGGAGCTTCTATGTCCTCTCCAAGTGGGCCATTCTCCCCAAATCTTCATGTGTTCACCAAACTACAAGGTTCCAAACCCTGCCCATTTGGGATCTTATAGAGGCTTCATTACATAGTCATGATGGATTAAATCATTGGCCATTGGAGATTGATTCAACTTGCAGCCTCTCTCCTCTCCTTGAAGGTCAGGTGTGCGAAAGTTCTGACCCTCTAATCACAGGGTGGTTCTCTTGGCAACCAGCCTCCATCCTTAAGTGTGGTCAAAAAGTCACCTCATTAACATAAAAGACAACTTTATTGCTCTCATCACTTAGGAGCTCTGTGTCCAAAACAGGGAGGAAGACCAAATATACATTTATTATAAATCACTGTACAATGTCTAGATACCTGATGTCCCTTCATCCCTTCTTATTAGATTAATCTAAAACAGATCTCCCTATCTCTAGTTTTCCCCTACTTTAATCCATTTTCAACTGTCTTCAGATTAATCTTCCTAAAGGTCAGTTCTGATAATGTTACTCTCCTACTTAAAATGTCTTCAGTGGCTCTTCAACCTCCCTAATTCTATACTCTGTTCATTGAAGTCCTCCAGCACATTTCAGTTCACTTTATACATTTCAGTTTACCTCAAACATGTTCAGTTCACTGTTTTTATCCTTAATAGTTTCCTCTTATCTCACCTTTCCCGTGAAGCTTTTCCTGGGTTCCCCTAACAAGAGTCACATCTCTCTCCTCTGTGCTTCTATGTCATTTAATACTTCTAATGGATAGTTCATTAAATTCTATTTTTAATAGCATTATCTGTGGACACCTTAGTATCTCTGCCAGACTGTAATCTCCCTGAAAGTAAAACTTATGTCCTATTGATCTTCATATTACCCATGGAGCCAGTAGTGATACCTTACATAGTAGGCACTCAAATATTTTTTTGAATAAACACTTGTTTAAGGAATATTATAAAACTCTGTCATTTCCATTTTCTAGATGACACTTGGGGCTTATAACTTTGTAAAGATTTAAAAATGTTTTTGGAAATAGCGAATATAAATTTTAACATGAGTTAAGTCACTCTAGAAAAACTCATGCACGATCGATTATGATAAAAACGTCTTCTGGTTCTGCTTTAAATTCCAAGAGCTTTTCTGAGAGTCCTTTGCAATGCATATGAGAATGTTTGTTTCTTCATGCTTTACTCGTTAGAGTAGCCAGATCTATTACATTCCAGAATGTGGAAATGTGTACTGTTTTAGGGTCACAATGAAATAGTACTTCAAAATTAAAGACCAACATAAAAATATTTTTCTTTAAATCTTCTAACCTGGATAAATTAGTGGTATTGTTTTTGTGTTTTCTTGTGTCATGTTTCCTGTTCTTACAGGGTTTTTTTTAATGTCCTCTTTCAGAGAATTTTGCTCAAAATTTTCACACAAAAATAACACTTTCATAAGATGATATGTAATCAAAGTGAGTCAGATTTCTAACACTATTTAATAGACATTGTTGCTATAGAATTCCAAAGCTTTATTTTGTTGGCATGAGTTATAAGAGAAAGAAAATAAAAGATGGATTAGCAGCATTTTTTTATCTGTATTCAGTTTCTTAAATGTGATGATGCCAAAAAGATTGGTTTTTTTCCTATAATTAAAATTGGTCTTTTCTACAATGTAAAATTTCCTAAAAACTTATGATATTATCTTTTTAGCATATTAATTTATACAATATGAAAAGTAGTTATTGCAATAGATCTTTTATAAAAAGATTCAATCATCCAAATTAATCCAAATTAATTTACTTTGAATGAAAATGGTATGTTTAATAAAGTATTACTGGCTGAGCTTCAGGATCCAAGATTAAGGTTTGCATTTTTCTATATCCATTGATGTGGACTAAAATGCAAATGTCATGTTGAGAATAGAACCAAAGAAAAAGGAAATTCATCCCTGGGATAGGGATAGTTCTGAAGTCATTCAAAGATCTGGTCCATTAAGTTTATGGCTTTCCGGCTAGATTTGTTAGCAAGTATGCCGAGACAGATGTGACTTTTCACATTTAACATATTTAATGAATTCAGTTCAGTAAACTTTTACTGAGAAAGTGATGAAGAAAGTATCTTAGA